CGGGACGCCGGGACCCCGCCCCGCACAGCGCGGGGGCCGCCCACGGGTGCAGGGGGCTGGGCTTCCGGGCCGGGCTGGGCCGCTGGGGAGCCCCCCGCGGTGACCAGCCCCTGTGCCCTGTAGAAAGCCCGGCATGGCCTGAGTGTGGCTGAGGACCTCACCCCCCGGTTCAGGTGAGCCCCAGCCCCAGCCGGCGGGCTGCGGGAGCGAGGGTCCGCCCGCTCACCCACCCTGCCTCCCCAGGGCAGCCTGCGAGCGGCAAGCCGTGACCGTCACCCTGCAGGAGGGCAGTGCGTCCCTGACCCTGTCGGAGGGCGCCCAGGCGCTGGACGTCCCGCTGTCCAAGGTGCCAGCCTCCCGGGCGGCCTCCCGGCTGCAGGCGCTGACGCTGGGCCTGGCTGCCCGAGTGTGCGACCTGGAGCGCAGACTGGCAGGTAGGTGCCCTGGCGCCGCCCGCTCCCCGGCGCCCGCCGAGCCCGCCACCGTCCTTCTCATCCCCAGCTGCGGAGGAGACCGCCGCCAGCCCCCGGAAGAAGCCGCGGCCTGCGGGCCCTCAGCTCTTCCTACCAGGTGAGGCCCGCCGTCCTCGGCTGGGCTGGGCTCCCAGAGCGCCTGTCTGGGGCGCGCCCTGGCACCCACGGCTTCACCCCCCCACACTATTTCCCCAGACCCTGACGCTCAGAGAGGCGGCCCCGGAGCTGGGGTGAGGAGGCGTTGCCCTGGAGAGTCCCTCATCAACCCCGGCTTCAAGAGGTGCCCGCCGCCTGCCCCCTGTCCGGCCAGCCCCCACCCCTCCCACCCGCCGCCCCACGCTCCGCCAGTGTCCCCTTTCTTCCAGCAAGAAGCCAGCTGCTGGCGTCAACTTTGACGACTCCTGAAGGCGCAGTGCGGCATCGCCCTGGGGAGCCTGCCTGGAGGGGTGGCCGGAGGCCCCACCCCCCTGCCCACCCCCTCTGGGGCGCCCTCCCCCATCAAATAAAGAGTCCTCAGGTGGAGGCCCTGGCCGGGCTCTGGCTGCTGGCGATGAGGGCCCGGGCTGCTGTCTGGGTCTGGGGGCACAGGGTGGAAAGGGGTCCCCGGCTCTACTGTCCATGTCCCCTCCAAGCCTGGGTGTGGGCGTCAGGCCCCCCGGGCCTGTTTCCATCCCCAAAGGGTGCAGACGCCCCTAGAGGGCGCTGAGTCGCGGCCAGGACGGCGGAGCGCGCAGCAGGTCCAGTGTGAGGCCGCGGCCTGCTGCTCGGAGAGTGGACGAAGGTGCGACCGCCACTGGCCCGAAGCCAGGGCTGCCCTGGCTCTCGGCCCCACCCTCCTGGGTCAGCCTGCCACCCCGCGCCGGCCTGACTGGTTTGGGAGCCCAATCCAGTCTGCCGCCTGCAGGGCGGGGTGTGGCGCCCCGGGCGGGCCACCGTCCTCTGGGGCTGAGCCTCCCAGAGCTGGGCGCTCGGTGCCTCGGACATCAGGACACGCTCGCTGGGGCAGAGATGCTTTTATGGGCGGGAGGAGCGGGGCGGGGCGCGGGCGGGGGGGTGCTAGCCGGGCACTAGCGGGGGTGCACGGCGGGCCGGTAGGCCGCCAGGATCTCGGCGCTGTGCGGACACGTGTACTTGAACTCCTTCTCCTGCAGCGCGCTGTCCAGGTAGCGGCGCACGCGGCGCAGCTCGGCGGGGATGGGCGCCCCGCGGAAGTGCGCGCACAC